TGCCGGCTGGGCTTAAACCACGACACTTGTGCAGAATAACAGATAATGTCCTCTTTTCTTTCAGATGACAGTTGGCTGGAGCTTACACCAGATGATCTAGATCAGATGCTGAAGGAGGCAAGAAGTGAGTCCCTTCAGTCCTCAAATGAGGAAGAGCAGAAATACGACTTGGAAACAGTTGCTGAAAGTATGAAGGCTTTTGTATCCAAAGTCTCAACACATGAAGGAGCAGAAATGCCATGGTAGTAGTATTTTTAAGTTTGGTGTCTGGTGTAGAATGTGTTTTCATTCTGCTGCAGCTGTTTGTTGATTATGTAATGCAGAGAATTCTACTTAGCAGAGGCCTGAAACAAACCCGTGTCAGTAGTGAATATATAGTTGCTTTTAGACCAACTTGGTGACCACTCTGACACTGGTACAGGTAAAAATGGTGGAAGTTGTGCTGTTTCAGAGCACTCTTACTTAGTTTGGTTCTGTGTGGTTCAGTGTGGATCCCTCTAATTGTTGCTAACTGTGGAAGGAAAGTGCTAACTGAAGATACTTAATTATTTGGACAACAGCAGAATGCCAGTAGATTAATTGTTGCAGTTAAGAAAGTGCATGTGAATGTTGTGTGAACAAGTCTTTAATTTAGAAAACCAAAGAAGCAATAGCGTATTGTCCGGGTTCTTTTTAATACATTAAATATTGAGAAAATAATGCTGTGTAAGCTGTAGCAAGCGTGTAAGGGCCTATTCATAGCTGTTGGATCCTTTTTAATTAGTCTTAGTGTCAAAGTCTAAGTTATAATGTACTTTTTTCAGTTATTTAAAGAAAAAAAGAAAAAAACCCTACAAACAACAAACCCACCCAAATCGCAGAGCCTTGAGAGAGACCAGAATGAAGCTTTTAGTGTTCCTTCTAGGCTGGAGACCTCAAGAGATTCTCAGCTTTTTAAATCTTTGTCTAAGGCTCCAGACCTTTGTTCCAGAAGGATTCAGGCATGCTTGTTTTGGTCGTCTTCAGTGCAGTATTTGTTTGACCATGACAGATAATTAAAATTGTTGGGTTTATTTTCTCTTTAATGTCTGGAATTCCTCCACTTGCTGTTTCACTTCTGACTCACAGAGGCCTCAGACTTCTAAGCACTTCCAAGACTGTCAGTTCAAATATCCCAACTTTAATCTAGGCTCGAGAGACATCAGTATGCCATATGGTTTATGCCAGCGTGAGGCTTATGCAAGCGTAAAAGCTTTACTTGTTTAAAAATATGTTTATATTTCAGGTCATCTGACGAATCCCATGTTACCTTTGACGTAGATTCTTTCACAAAAGCATTAGACAGAATTTTAGGTGAGATTTGCTTCATTAGTTTTTGTTCTTGTCAAACTATCTTATGGTTACTCAGCTTCCCTGGGTCTTTTCATCACCCGCGGGCACTGCACTGATTTGCTTGGTATCTGTACTGACACAAAATAATACATAGGGGAAGACTCAGAAGAGCTGGATTCTGATGATCTGGATGAAGAGGAAGAGTTTGATTTCTCAGATGAGGAGGATGAAGACTTTGATGCTGAAAATCAAAGGCCCGACCAGGAAGTATCACCTAATGAGCTTATAGGCAGTCTCAGATCATACATGGATGAGATGGACCGTGAACTGGCACATACAAATGTTGGTAAAAGTTTCACCACCCAAAAGAAACAGGTAAGTATGCTTTGTGTTCTAGTTTATAGGATAATAGTTTTGAGAATTTAAGTAGGAAATACACTGAAAGTGGTCATTCTGAGTAATGTGATCAGAAACTTCTGTTCATGTGTGAACTAATTACTAAAAAAAAAAAAAAAAATCCTTTGTTTAAGAAAAATGTGTTGCAGTTGCACCATGGGGTTTTGGCATTTTGGTTTTGTTTGGTTGGTTTTTGTTTGGTTGGTTTTTGGGGTTTTTTTGGGTTTGCTTTTTTTTTGTGTGGTTTTTTTTGTTTGTTTGTTTTTTGGGTTTGTTTTTTTTTTTTCCTTTGAAAAGAAATCTAAGCTTCAACTTGCACATTGTTTCCAAAACTTAGTTTCATTTCCCTGTTTTACTCTAGTTTAGTAGTAAGGCAAATAGCAGCAGCCTGACTTCTTGCATTCCTGTAGTTCCTCAGCTCCCATAGGAAGCTGAGCCCAGACTCAGTAACCCTTTCCATCCTTCTCTTGGAACTTAATCTCTATAATGGCAAATGATGATTTTTAACTGGCATGAGCATTTGGTGCCTAAATTCCTGTCTATCAAGACAGTGTGGAATGTACTGAACTTTGTTGGCTGTAGAGCTATTGTGTCATTTCTCTTTTTTTCTTTTTTGGTTTTTGTTTCTGTTTATACAATTTGATAAACTTTCTCTTTATCCTTACTATAGGCAACTTCTGTTAAAGCAGCTACATCTGAAAGCGCTGGCCATGATTCTGGAGCTGAAAATACTGAATTGACACCAGTTGATGTGGATATGAACCTAGTAGCTAACCTGCTTGAATCCTATAGTGCTCAGTCTGGACTGGCAGGCCCCACCTCTAACATTTTGCAGAGCATGGGCGTGTATTTACCCGAAAATGCAGATCGTACTGGCTCTATCGAGCAACAGAATAAAAGACTGTCTTAATTCAGAAGACATGGCTGATAGAGAAATGAAGCACAGAAAGACTAGCAGTGTTTGGAAGAAGAGACGAAAGGTTTGAATTTAAAGCATTTTATGCATTAGTTATGTGTGACCTGAAAGGTGGAGAGTAGATTTATCCTCAAAAGCCATCTGTTTGGACACTATCTTGGATAGAAATCAGATTTTTACAGAGCTAACATGTTTTCAGAAAAGTGAAAAATGACGATGTGACTTAAATTAAACTTTTATTACAAATTCCATCTTCAGTTTTTCAAATCAATGATCCAGTTGGCATGTTTCTAGAATGTCCTTTTACCTGTTACTAGCTGGTTTCAGTATCGGGAAAGCAGTGCATGTTCTGAAAATGCTGCCTTCATGGGGAGGGAGATGGAAGAATGCCATCTTATAGGAACAGTCTTCCCTTGTGGAATTGGGAATGCTGGTTAAATGTTCAGCAGACACTTAATTGCTTTTCTAAAAGTTCAGTGCTTCATTGTAAGAACTTCTGATAAGTACTGTAAGTTCTATATTACCCAGGAGAATTTGAAGAGTAATTGGATCGAATATGTAAATATTTGCTATAAGTATTTTTGAAGTTATTTAAATAAAAGCAGAAATATAACCTGATTACTGGAGATTGTTTTTCCTTTGAAGGTATGCATGGCTTCCTCAGAGCAGTGTCAGAAGTTCTTGGAGTTAAAGCATTTTCATAATTGGGCATTTTTGCAATTCCATTATTGCTGAATGTTGGTATCGTGCTAGCAGTAGCTGTATATGAGCACAATCTGAACAGTTTTGTTTTGTTTTTCAGTGAAAATGTAGCTAGAAGGCGTTCAGCATGGAATGAAAAGTCTATTCTAGATATGAAGATTTAGCTTTAACAAGATGAATCTGAAATAAAATACTTAGAAATTCTTGATTCGCAGGCAGCAAGAATGCAGTTCTGCCAGATCTGAATAGGTTTTTTTTTACCGGTCTTTATTTTTATTTCCACACAATAAATTGTCTTAACAGGTAGAAGAGAAGCTTATTGGTTGAGTTTTTTGGGATTTGGTTGGTTGGTTCTTTAAACATATTCAGAAAAATAGTATTCAATGATACAAAAGCTGGATTGATCCTGAAGGTGTACCTGGTTGCTTTTAAAGGACACTATCATTGTTAGTCTTAACATTTGGAGTTCATTTAGTTGGAGTATTTGTTTTAATTTTTTTGCATGTTAAGTGCTGGCATTACTTTAACTGACAAAGCAGAATGTAGCAAAAGTTGTTCCCACGTAGGACTTGGACACTTGCGTGATGAGTTTTATGTGACTGCTGTGTCAACTGATTTTTACCAATACATAGAAGATTCTTTGAAAGTCACACATTGGCATTGTTTCATTGAAATGAATGAGACCTTAACAATGTGCAGTGAATGCTTGCTTGCTGGCTTCCCTACTGAGCTATGCTCAGGGGTTGTTGGTTTTGGGTTGGGTTGTTGGTTTTTTTTCCAAATTGATGTTTATTTTCTCAAATGACAAATCTGGTAAAATGCTACAGTACAATATCATATGTATTGGAGAGTCTGTATGTGAATGCGTGGAATTAATGTGGCTGAAGGTCATGATGGCTATGCTCCCTGCAGATTTGTCCTCCATAGATGTTGTAGAAGTCACTTTATCAACAGCTTAGGGAGAATACTGGCAAATTGGACAGGGTTAGAGATGGACAAGAATTAGGACATATAAAGATGTCGCTAAGGTTCAAGGAGTTTGGACTGCAGAGAGGTGAAATGAGACTGACTTAGACAAATCTACACTGGAAGAATTGGGGTAATAGGAGTTCCTGAATCTAGGAGACAGGGACAGCCAGCAGTAGTGCAAAACAAATGTACTTGAACCTTCAAAACAGTTTATATTTTAACAGAGAAGGTAATTAACACTGAAGCTATGTGAAATTGATGAGCAGTTAGATCAAGTTTAGATATTTCAAAAGTAATTCCATTTGAAGAACATGATCACACTTAAACTCTCTTGTGGCCTGTACTATACGAAAGGTCAAAATTGATCAAAGGACTCTTCTAGCATAACATGTGAAGAAAACTTCTAAGCCAATGTTCAGAACAAGATGCTCTTTTGGAAGCACGTCAGTTGATCTTGCTGCTTAGATAATCTTACTTTTCCATGAGTTGGACTGTTATTTCTCTGGGGCTGTAGTTATTCCAACTATTTAGATTTGTTTAGCAGCTTCACAGTGGAGACCCTCAAGACTGGAATTGCTCACAAGAGAATTTGCCATTGAAGAATAAGTGTTTTCGTGCTGCCTCTTTCACTGCTCTGAATGAACATATGAAGCATTTCTGCTTTTAATTTTGAAGGAGAGTATTTTTAGTGAAAGAAGTCTGATGGAATTAATTAGGAAAAACAAGTGTGCTGTGGTTCTCTTTCAATGAATTGCTATTAAAGTTTCCGTTATATTCTATATTAATTTAACTGGAACTGCATTCCAACACAATTTACTCACTTTGCTCACTTGAGTATCTGCCTTTTGTACAGCCTTTTTCATCCTAGAACTTCCCGACCTTTCCCAGAAATGTAGTTTTCTTGTTTGTGGCTTGACCCCTGAAGCCCCAGTTCTGAATGGTCTAATTGTTGACTGGTATGTTTCAAGCAAAACAACAAATAATGAATCTTTCATCTTCCATACAGGAGATCAAAACTAATCCCAGGGGACAGCAGAGACCTTTTACTTGTTAAAATTCTAAACACCCAGGCAGTTTGGCTGTTGCCACTCTTTCAACCGATAAGCTTTATGGAATAGTGAGGAGCCTAAGAGAGAGGGCCATTATTTTCTCTGTGTTAGTGGAGGGTGTACAGTTCATCTCGGAAGTCAGCAGCCCACAGGCTAGCGATGTTTCTTGCATGAGTCTAACTCATTTCTGGTCAGTGGGGAGGATGTGTTGCTCTGGAGGAATGGTATTTAACTACAACTAGCTGTGTTCAAGTGCAGTTTCATGTCAGTGATACTGATTGGTCTCCTGCAAATAAATTGTTTTCTACATCCTTGCTATGTAAGTGGATGTCAGCCTCCCCTGTTGCCATGAAAGATCACCTCCCTGCAGGACACTTGCCGCCTGCCTTCCCTTTCTAATGCTAAAATACAGGAGTAACAGTTATCTCCAGGATATGTATTAGTTGCAGCAGTGGAAAAGCATTTCTTATGAATGTTTATGCAGCTCATGCTGCAGGTACTTGTCTAACTCCTACGAGAAACTGGATTTTGTTTTTAATAGCAGCAAGAATCAGGACAGGCCCTTTGTACCACCTCCAGATCCCTTGGGATGCTGCAAAAGCTACAGCAACAGCTGCCCTCCCTTTTGCCATATACATCTTTGGAATGGAATGTAAGAGCGTCTGTCCTGGCAGGTCTAAGATGGAAATTTATTACTTTTTCCAAGTTTGTTTATTCCCCTAAGAAAATACCACCATGGAGGGCAGTTGTGCTTCTCGGCCTCAAGAGCAGAATACAGAGCTATTGAAAAAAGTGACTTGCTCAAGAACATGAAGTCAAGGGCGTGCAACCTAAAACATCACCTTAGTTGCTGCGCATCAAGTGTGTTCCTCAGCCACCAGGAACCTGATTACCAACTCCTGAGGATTGAGAAGGTATCCTCTACCAAATTCCAGGTGCCAATAGATAATTAACTCAACAGCAAAACAGTGTTTTCAGGGTAGATAACTGTTGCTGTTGTCATGATTCAGTTTATTTTGTCTTTGAATTAGTATAGTAACATACAGTAACAACCGGTCCTGTTGAAATAGGATAGAAAGAGGCAGATGCAGGGATGCGTGCTGGCTGTGCTTCCAGGCTGAGGAACTGTCTTGTGGAGTACACTATCATGGAGAAGGGTATCATGAACAGCTTACAGGTTTCTGATGTGAAAGTGTAGCTGAAAAGTGAAATAATTGACAGAGACAGAAGAATATCACATTGCGTGTTACTTCTGTGTAGAGTGTGGATTGCTGTTTGGAATAGCACCTGTGCTTAAGTGGGTCAACACTCCCAGATGGATATTAACAATTTTGCAAGCATTCAAGGATGGGAAATGAAGAGGAAAACTAACGTGAAGGTAAAGCTCAGTTTATTCAGAAAAAGTACATAGGTGACTTGACCTCTGTTGCAGGTAGGAGGCAGAAGATAAGATACTTCCAGGAAAGACTTTGTAATTTGATGGGCGAAAAAGAAGTAATGTTATTGAATGACTGCAGTGATGTTAATCTAAATTAGTTAAAACCAGACTTTTGGTTTGTGTTTTTGTTTTTTAATTGGTGAGGATTACTAACTTTACTGCAGTTAAAAGGCCATACAGTTATAGTGTTGGAATATAATCTAGTTTAATCTAGGCATTCTCCATGCTGCAAGCTAACAGCAGCTATATTTAACTATCGTATTTCTTCAAATCACTATTGCTGTACCCTTGTGACTGTAGACATATTTCCCTAATAAAAATGTCCCAGGTTCTTGTTCAGACAGATCACAGTTACTGAATTTTGTGCAGCATCTATTTGCATTTGCTGTGTTCCTGTTAACCAGATCAGTCAACAGTGTGTCATGGGTACAGCTGCATAGTTGCTCTTGTCCTAGTCCAGCACGCATTTATTTAGCACCCTGATTACAGTGCCAGTCTTAGTATTCATGAATTTCCAGCTTCCCATTCCTTAAAATACCTTGTTGAGATTCTTAAATTTATTAAAAAGTGATGTGTGAATTTGCTTCTGTCCCTATCCCAAATCTCATCTTTCTTCTTTTTCTGCTTATATTAATATACTAGTAAAGCTTCTGGGTCCCTTTGCAATATTTCCATTAACAGAAATAGGGCCTTCTTTGCATTTCCTGCCATTAGAACAACCTTACTGTGTATCACTCTTTTCCGCAATTGCTTCAGATCTTATTGAAAAAATCTCTTCCTTGCCTTGCTTGCTAACCTCTGCCATTTCTCTCTGTAGCTGTGTTTTTTTTTTTTAAGATGTGAAGTTTTGTGGAGAATGCTATATACTAAGATGCTGCACACAGATGAGCACAGGGACCAGTGGAGAAGGACATTTTATCAGCATTTTCTGTTCCTGTGCCATTAGTTGTATCAGCATTTTCTGTTCCTGTCCCAGTACTGCTCTCCCTGTGAGGGGGCTGTAGAGGCTTTGTGTTTCTGCTCCTGTGATCTTTCTCTTGTTTGTGACAGCAAATGCCAACTTCAGTTTCTCCCTGTAAAGATGATTGTGAACATCACTGAGTAAGTGTACCTGATTATCTACGAAATACCACTAATGGCGCTTAAAAAAAATGCAAGTCACACCATTTCCATTTTGGCAACCCAGCCTCTTTGTTTTAACAGAATTAGTTTTGGTGGTGCTCAGTCACTCCCAGGTGAATGCATCATTGGATGGGTGACATCTGGCATTATTTTTTCCCTTACACAGCTGCTTGCCATCTGTTGCCTAGTTGAAAAGTAAACAAGTTTTAAATGGGAGCTGAAGCCTGGAGCTGCTGAAATCATTTCAGCAGCACTTCAGATTGAAGCACAGGAATTGTATTTGTGTAATTACATGTTCTGACAACCTGTCCCTTGCAGCTGCAAGAGCTGAACTGCTCATAGTTACTTAAAAAATGATTACTTCCAAAATTACTTTAATTCAGTCATGTTGTCAGGGTGTTCCATTAAGTGCTCATGTCCTGTCAGGTGAAGCATGAGAGTTGGGATGTATCCACTCCATCTCAGAGCATGTTTTAAGGTGAAGTAATTTCTCAGTGTAAGAGCTTCCTCCTTGACCCTTGATGCTAAGTCAGACTTTCTGCCATTCACAATGGATGAGTACCCTTGTGGGTAGGAAAATGTGACCTTTCCATGCAGCAGCAGAGCAGACCAAGGTGATGGGAGAGCATGTGATAAGTGAATTCTCAATTCACCCCATTTCCAGGTAGGATTTTTCAGAGCTCCCTCCATCAGAGATAGCCAAGTTGTGTCATGGAGTTTGGTTACTTTAATCCTCTGCTAGCAGCTGTTGGAGATAAAAATAACTTTTATGCCCTGCTGCTTTTGGTAGGTAGGTGGAATGCTGCTTTGAACTTGTCTGTATTGCTCTCCAAAAAGCTATTTCAAATTAATCAGCCAAATGTTACTATTTTATAGCTGCCCATGTATCCTGCAGGCTGGTAATGCTTGTGAACAACTGGGTTGTAATGCCACATGCTGACTGCTTTTCAGTGGTAGGTCTTGCTGTCAGTCCCAAGCCCTTGCAGTCTCTGAAAGCAGTGGCGTCTCAATGATTTACACAAGTCAAGTGTCCTCAAAGAGGATTCATTTAAAGGATGTGTTTTTGAGAAAAATACGTTGTTAAATCCCTTTTGCCTGCCTGATACCTTTTACATGGGACAGCTCTGCTGTGTTTTGTTGAAGCAGCTTCTGTCAGGAATTGTCTTTTTTCCAGGTCACCTGTCTTTATGGAGCATGTTCCTTCTTGACTGCAGTGAGTATTACTCAGGCTTCAGCCAGCTTTCTGAGGCAAATGCAAGTGAGAACAATGTCTGAACTTGTTTTTCTGTTCTTTTCATAGCTGTATTGCCTATAATTGTCTGTAATCATTCCTGCTTTCTTTTAACATCAGGAACAGAGGCCACCATTGTTTCATACCCAAGTCAAAAGGGTATGGATTAAGGATTTTTTTCTTACTGATAATTAAAAGGAACATGCAGACCTTTAAAACTGTTTTTTAAAAGGTGAGCCACAGAAGCAAAGAAATGAGAAAGTAGCTTTTCCTGTAACTTTCTTCATGTGGAAAACAAGCAGTAACTGATGAAATCTGAAAAAAACTGGTATAGTCAGAGTATTAGACAGACTGCAACTCTTGTGAGTTGTTCTGAAGTCTGTGGACATCTAGCAACTTCAGCCTGGGCAGTGTCCGGCCCACGAGCATCAAGCAAGGGGGCAGCAGTAATGATGACACCTTCTGTGACCAGCCTGCCTCCTGCTGTGGTGCCCACATCACCCCAAAGGGACACCCTCCGAAGACAGGTCTGTATCATCAGTGTAGAAAGGACAGTTCAGAAGAAGCTGGTGTCAGTCAGTCAGTATTTGCTTGCTTTCAGTTAGAGCTCACTGATAGCCTGCAGTGTTGATACTAAAAACATAACTGGGTAAGTGCAGTAACCCAGCATTTGCCAAATGCAGGAGAATTTTCTCTGATGGTGGATCTGATCACACTGCAGCTGGTTTAACGAAGACATACACTGCAGATAAACACTGTAAAAGTACAAAAACAAAGCCAACAAAGCTCAGATTACTGCAGAAGTCACAAAGCTGTGCCTCCTCTCACTCATAGGTACTACTTTTTGCTGCTTTCACTTCATCCTTTTTCTGCCACTGGGATAACACATCATGTGTGGATATTAAAAGTATTAAGTATGTTGAACTGGATATTGGACACTGGAAGCATGCTTCGGGCACATAATGAACTACTTAAGGGTGAGCTGGGAAGGCATTAAGGAGAAGTGGGAAGGAGGATGAGAAAGAGTATCTTGCTAGCTAGTATCTTAACTCTTCAGTATCTTCTGCTGCAGAGAAGGGAAAGAAAGGAGTAAGGGTGCAAATGAAAATGGCAGATTCCAGAGATGGGAGAGGAAGAGGTAAATGCTAAGGAATTAGAATGGTGTGATGGGAGAGAAAGGGGGAATTACTGTGAAGAGAGACAGCAAGACATGTTTCAAAGAAAACTGGATGCAGGAGTGTTGTAGTTAAGTTCAGTGGTGTGTACGCTCCTGTGGTGTGTCTGGCTGGGCTGGAGGGGAGGAAGCAATGCCCTTGGCTGTACCAGTGCACATTCTTACGAGGATGACTGATGGAGTTCACAAACATGAAAAATATGCTCTATCATGTGTGTTTTATTGACTGAGAGGGTGGGAAGGGTGTTTGCCCATGCCAACATGGCCTGAAAGAATCCCCTCCCAACCTCCTAAAGTAAAATTAACCCAAGGAAACAAAGCATGTCTCAGTGGTATGAGAAAACCTTTTTACTTACTGCTCAGTTGTCATGACTCCAGATTTTACCATTGCTCAAATGTCTTTCACCTGCAGTGAATCCTAATGGTGACAATCAGTGATGCATTCCTTCTCCCTTCAAGTATCTGTACTAATGGCCTTGCAATCTTGGTATTGGAACTCTGATCAAGTAGGCAGAAAGGACTGTCAGCCTGAATCAGCAGCAGATCAAACAACCTTCCATCTGTCTCTTGCTAAGCTTTCCTTACCCAGGCTTTCTCTGTCGCTCTCCTTCCAGAGAAGTGATACCATTTCATCAGTAAAGCAAGACCAGCTCTGCAGGCAAGCCACGGACACTGGCACATGGTAAGAGGCATTGTACCTTTCAGGAATTTTCTCTGTCAGAAGTGCAGTCCTTTCTTGCAGCAGTTCCTCTCACCTTTGCATTATCTGGGTTCTTCTAATATGCTTATATGTAGGTTTTGCTCTTCCACTCTCTACCACCAGATAGCTCTGTTCTCTCTTCCTTGGGATGGAAGTAACACTGTTTTACCCGTGGGGAAAATGGTGCTTCTGAAGATATTTTTATTAGCTCAGATTTATCAACAAATTAGAAGCCTATTTTAGCATTTGAAAAAAAAAAAATATATATATATATTACATGAAACTAGAAGATTGAATGGGAAAGGAAGTAGAAGAAGGGGAGAGCATACAGGATACAGGCAGTGGTTTTTCTTACGTTTTTTTGGGAGGCTTTTTTTTTTTTTTTTGATAGTTCTTCCAGACCCGTGTAACTGTGAACAGTGAAAGGTGTCACGGTCCCTTTATTTTTTTCTGGAAAAGGTGTGCATTTGATAGCTTTTCAAGATGAATAAAATGGTGGAAAATGAGACAAGTGCCAGGGGTTCATTATTCTGGTGCTTGCTGGGCAACAGCAGCAGCTGGGACACAGTAAGTGTGATGCTTTGGAACTAAGAATTTTATTGTATGTTTACAGCAAGACGTGGGATCTCAAAGGTGATCTACTGTTCATGGAATTGTCTGAAGATGATCAATTTAGAAATGGCTTTGTAGGTCTACGTATCAGAGTGTAAGACTGTCATCAGTCTGGTGCTGTCGTCACTGTAACATAGACTTTGCCTTCAGTAACTTTGGAAGACTTTTTTATTGAATTTTCATAGTTCTGGTATAATCACAGACTTGATAAAGTCATGTCTAAGCCAGCTGGGAAGTCTGCTGCTTAACCCACTCACAAATCAGCTGGTGAGCAATGGCCTGTTTGGGAGGAAACCAGGGTAAAAAACTACCATCATCTTGCTTTGAAGATCTGGGATTTCTCTTGAGACCCTCCACAACTTCCTCCAGGCCAAACCAACGGGCTTCCTCTAGTTCGAGCCTGTTCATACTGATCTGTAAAGAATTCAGAGAGAGTACTAGTTCCTTAAATCAGATTTAAATATGGGCAGTGGTATGTTGCTTGTTCTTGCACCCAAAAAGATTCTATGCTGGAGTGCCCAGAGTGCTTTATCTGTACCAGGATTAAGTGCTGAAGCCAGTACAGGAAAGGACACTACTATCCACCAGTGTTTTGTTGTCTTTGTTTCCTTAGGGAAGCCACAAATCAGCCCTATTCCATTATGGCACTGAACTGCAAAGTATCAGTGGCTAAGCACAGTAATTAATGTGGCAGAATGTGACATTAATGGCAAATATAATATTAATACTAGAGAGTACATCATCTGCAAAGTTCCGAGGAAAAAAATTAGGGGTGTTAGGCTCTGGGTTTGTATACGTACAGAGATCTGTGCAAAATCTGGTATGTTGCAACAGAAGATACCATTATTTTGAAGTTTGTTCTCTTCTAGAGAAAGCTGATGGAAAACTGCATTTAGAGAGGATCTGTTGCTCTCCAAACTAAAGTCTGTGGACTGAACGAGATTTTGCTATGTGAAGTGGGCAGTGAAATGCCTCAGGGGAACCCAAGTCTGCTCACCTCAGCCTGCTGTGCCCTCACTATAGCGTGACAAGCTATCATTAAGCAGCTGCTGGGAAAGGGCCAGTGCTGAGAAGCTGAGTACCAGAGTGACTCCACCTCCAGGCCAACCTCTTCTGCCACCTCTCGATGGACTGTCTCCTCGACATTTTCACCTAGAAGCAATCAGAGTCGGGTAAGGACAGCCTGGCCTCAGGGCAGTAAACCGTGGCAAAGAAAACGTAGGTACGCTCATTTCTGTGGTGTTCCAGTGCTGACTGCTCATGCATATGCAGGAGCTCTGGCTGTACTGACCTGGAAACACTTGTCAGCAGGATGCTCAAGTGAATTTATCAACAATGCTTACCTTCATTAAGCAGAGACATCAGAGACATTTTTTGCTTTGTCTATATACAGCTGGTTGACAGAACAATGCTGCCTCTATTCATCATTTCCCTTTTTAAGCCATTTTACCTCGTGTAACAAGAGATGTCTAGTTTTTCTTCTGAGCCACTGAGCCAGACTGCACGAGACACAAAATGGACTAAAAAAGTATCTGGGGTTCTAACTTGATGAGTCTTATACATGTATTTATTTATCATCTGGGACTAGAGCCACTGATATGTACCCATAATTCTCATTATCTTCAGATAAATACAGCTATTTTGAATTCTGTCTGGATAAGAAGGCTTATCTATTTAGATCCAGTATGTTTTTCCCTGATATCACTTATGTGTCTGTCCATCCTTCACTGTGAACAGGTGTTTGATGTCTGCCCATTCTTCCCCCACACCCTTCATGTCCAAGGCCACTGTGCTGGATCAGAGACCACCTTACCCATGTCACAGAAGCCTGACAAAGCAGAGTACATCCCCTGGGGAAATGAGGGCTGTCGTGCAAGGAGGCACCGGCTCCCATCAGACACCAAGGTGATAATCACTGGAGACATCTAGCAAATGCATCAAAAAGCAAAGAAAGAAGTTCAGACCAAACACGTAAGTGCCAATTGTTGCTTTTCCTAGCGCGTTGAGGGTCACTGGATGAACACTAAAGAAAAAATACCCAGGTATGTGCAAAACTTTTACAGGTTCTCCTCCATGCAACCCAGCAGCATTTGCTTGTCACCAGAGAGACCCTATGTTGATTACATGTGCTGTTCAGATGCTCACCTGTGGATAGTAAGTTATTCCACTGGCATGACACACACGCTTGCTGCCAGCTGCATTTCTCTGAGTGGGCTGCCCAGTTTTGCTACAGTACTGGTGGGAATCGTGCCACTGGAGAAGGGACTGGGCCTGTGAACACCAAGAAAGAAACACAAATCTTATTTTTACCTTCTTGAAAAATAGCCCAAGCACTGAAACATTATAAAGCAGGAAAATAAACATGAGCTGTTTCTACTTATGGGTCAGGACAGCTGATTTTCACACACAGGTCTTTTTCATAGGACTTCCAAATGTAGGGTATCTGCAGATAAGCTTATAAGTAAGTAGTTTTGAAAGAGCAGGTCTGAGAGAAGATCTGTACATTCATTTGTGAAATTCAGTTTGCCTAGAAGATTACAGAAAACTAGTGCTGGATAGTTGTTAAGCTGAGGACAAACTGGGATTGCTGTAACTGCTGATAAGATCAGTGTGTTTCACACTGGCCATGAAGCAGGTTGATGCTAAATGGCTAATTACTTTAGATTTGTTTTTAAGCCACTTGCTTGTTTCTCCTTCCGTTGCAGCTTGCTTTTGGGATCACAAATTTGGGAAAACTTTTGTAATTTATAGTGTGTTTGTACCTAGGTCACTGAAAGTGTGCAATACATACTTCCACAATACGTATTTAATTATAAAACAATATGGGAGTCAAGGAGAAGGTTTATGTTAGAAATCTCAGCTTCTTAAAGTAAAAAATCCTGTACAGTACCGAAGCCAGCAAAGGAGAATCCTTCTCATCCACTATGAAGAGAGCCTTTCGTAAGTCAGTAAATGATCCCTTGAGTTCAGACTCAATGACTGATTTTTCCAAAGCTCCTGTTTAAAAAAATAACAACAACAAAATAATCTTTGATCTCATAAATCACAGTTACTATCCCAACTTTACGCCCTACATTGTTCCGGTATACAATTTCTGGAAGTTCCTGTGGAAGTGACACCACATCAGAAGAAACATTTCCAAATGTTAAGTGACCTGCCAACAGCCCACCTTTGCTGACATATACACAGTTCTGTGTCTCTGACCTGTCACACTCTAAACAGCTCCATAGAGACTCAACCGAGTCTTCTCTGGCAGTAAATGTTCACCCAGCAAGGATTAGGGATGCTGCTAAGGCAGCATCTTCATCTTGGTGCATCAAATGTGATGCTGACACAGATGGAAGAGGAGTAATCCCAACCTAAATCCAGGGCAAAGTGTGGTATGCGCTCGTCTGAACAACCGATCAGCACCGACTTCTCTATCCACTGTTCTGTCTCTTTGAATTCCTCCAGGATCCTTTTCATCTCTAAACAGCAGGGGAAAGGGAAAGAAAAATCTGTGATGAAAGCACATTCATACAGCCATTTTGCTCTCTCTGGATCTTCAAGGCACATGCAATCTTGGCTCAGAGCAGGGTGCTCATGTAAGAGAGGGAACTAGACAAGTGGTCCTGCCTGAATGGAGACCAGAAGTCTAGCTTGCTTCTTAGCTGTTAGAAGTTTTGACCATGTCAACCTAAAGATGCAAATGCTGTACTGCCTTGGGAGCAGCTGTCCATTCTGTTTCTGTCCTAGGCCAGCCAATACCTTTCTCTGATTGAAAATTTTTCCTGTGTTACACCAAATAACCTTTGTCAGATAGACCTTGCTTGTTTTCCTGCCAGCCCTTTCTCTTTGAAAGGCATGGTCCCAAATGTTTAAAAATTATCTTTACAGAGCACATCAGGTATATGTTGATGCTATATGAGTGTGAAGAGCATGAGCTTGTGTCTGCATGCCACAGTTTTAAATCTGAAGTCTTGGTTGTTAACAAACAGTGTGCTGCATATAGCAGGATGTTCTTGTACAGCTTGATAGATTTTCAACGCCTACATGAGGGGTTTCTTATTGCAAAGAACTCTATCATTTCAGTTGTGTGATCCAGGAGGTATTTCCAGACACCTGCTTACCTGCTGCACTGAGCTGTGGTATGAAATATTTCTCCCCAACTTTCTGCAGGAAGGGAGAGAGATTGTGAAAGAGGTAGAAAGTTCCTGAGGTCTGGGCTTGTCTACAAAGGCTGTCATCTTCCTTTAGCTCATATAAGTATCTACAGTGAGAGAAGAATTGGGAAGATGAATTCAGATCACGTTGAGATTACCTTGTTATGCTTATTTGGACACATTTATGTTCCACATAGTAGGGAGGGTGAGCAGACAGTACAGATTTTATGTATTCCACATGCTTCCAGAGTTTCTGACAGCTGAGTCTACTCTTTGGTGGACTGTAGCCCCTAGCAAGGGTCCCATGTGGCAGAAAATACTGCAATTGTTACTACCCAAGCAGCCTCAAGTCTTAGACATCCAAGAAGAACACTAACCCAGCCTCTTAATCCAAGAAGTCTGCTTTACAGACATGATCATTTGTGTGCAGAAGACCTTCATCTTCCCTTTTATCCCCCCAATCTGGATGGCTCCAAGTCTTGTTTTGCAAGGTTACTTGAGCACTTCAGATGTGGAATACGTTTCCCATCAGGCTACGTGCACTACTGCAGGGTACAGTCTATCTGTCACGCTGACATGACAGGTAAAGACCAAGCTGAAGTCTTATGGGCCCAGATGGCTGGGGCCTGAATTAGGAAAAGCAATCATTGGAAAAGGGGTGTCAGGATGTGCTGCTTTCAGACTGTTTGAAGTAGTATTTAAAAAGAGGTGAGCAGCATTGCTTCAAGTTTGTATTTCAAGACATCTTTATCTAGGACAGCAAACCTGGGCATTCATTAACAGAGCTTCAGCCTCAGGGAATCAGTTCTTAACACTGATGAACAGATTGGAGAGATTTTTGATTTATTTACGGAGCTCTCACAGCATTACCACATTATTGTTCAAGATTTAGGTAGGGCTGCTTGTGACAGTGGATACAAAGGTGCCAAACTCTGGTCTTGTCACTATACACAAGAACTTACCTCATTTTTCTAACATAGGTAGAGTGTAACTTGCAGATGAGAGAGGAAGCTCTTCTATATGCTGCTTGATAAATTGCAGCCATAACAAACACCTAGAGGTAGCTGTCTCTGCCTAAAAAGAGAAGCATAGAATATAATGCAGAGGCTCTACAGAGTTAAATTTGAGTTAAAGGTGCAATAACCCACTAGCAGAAATCTCCCATTACAGATTCTGCAGAATGCTGGCATCTGCTTTCTAAAATTATTGCTTTGGTCTTAGTCACATACCAAATCCACTTTCATGCAATCTTTAAGACTATTTAAAGATACCTCTGTTTGTTTCCATCTGTAACTCTGCACAGGTCCTACAGAAACTGCAATAAGACTACATTAAATGTTCCTGTCCTAAATTCCTGTATCCCTGGGGGAAAAGAGGAGTGAAGGTGGCTGTTCTCGTTTGTTTCCTACACAGTTTGTAATGGCCTCAATCCAATCGAACATCCTATTGCAGCACACAGTAGATCTGTGGGAAAGGCACTGATGCCAGAAGAGAATGAAAGACAAAATATCAGCTGTGGAAGTGAATTCCCTAAGTTAGGCAAGAGACAGCAGTTGCAGCTTAATTGGATCATCTCCAGCTATGAATGCTTTTTGTGCCAAACAGTCCTACCACATTTTCAGCTCAGGCAGTCACAGACTGCAGTTTGATCTCAGCTTCAGGATGTCAGAAAATTAACCAGAAATGCTACCATCTCTAGCATTCATCTGAAACAAAAAATAAGTATGATTCATAATCCTTAATGATAATTTTGAATATTTCACTTTCCAGCCATAGAACTCAAAGCCCTTTAAGGAGGAAGTTACATTTGCTTTGATTTACAGATACATAAGCAGTTGCCAAAGAAGGATCTTGAGAGTTCTTCCTTCAGTAAAGGTCAGCGATGGCTCCAGAGCCTGCGTGGTGCCTGAGCAGAAGCTCGTCTCTGTATGTGGAGGCAGTTTCTGTAGCAAGCAGCATGGAGGCTGTGCCTTGCACCTTCTGACGTCTCTGCTCCAGGTCCCTCTTTCCCACTGTCTCAGCTGAGGGTGGTCTTCACCAGGATGATCCCTGGTGAGACAGGGGAGCCAAGCCTGCTGCAGAAGCTACTGGGAAGAGCATCAGCATCCCTGCTCAGTGCTGCAGCCGCAGCAACGGGAACTCCACACGCTGCCAGCAGGCTCAGGCAGACGCATGTGAGGACTGACACCAACACAGAGACCACGTCTGAAACAGTTCTGTGGTGTGATGATTACGTGTCCTCACTTCTCCACCCCCACGTCTCATAGAGCCTGGCTGGTGAAAATCTGCTGCACAGCAGCAGCCTGTGCTGAATTCAGGAGCTCTGTACTTTGGAATGAGCAGCAGAGTGTGACTGGGGCAGGGACAAGAGGAATAGCTTGTACCTGGAATGAGGAAATCCAACATGTACAGGCATTTAACCCCTTCCTTCCTAGGAACCACAGTGCCAGAGTTTGGTTAGGATCATTGGAAACTTGGAGACAGTTAAAACTTGATCTCAGAAGGCCAGCCCAAACTCCCGTCTTGCCTGTAAATCTCACTTATGCAATACAGCTGGCAGGAGGTGGATCTAGGCCTGTTATTCTCCATACGTTTTCCCCACTTACTGTGCTCAGTGCAGGAGTGCTGTGTCCAGCAGCAGGGATCAGCTAGCTGTGAGAGTCCCACGCTGACCTCCCTTAGAAGCACAGCTCGTACAACAAACAGCGGAGCAGCTGGCTCGCTGGGTCTGACTTGCTCTTCTCCCACTGGGAATGCTGGGAAATGTAGTTCTACAAAGGCTGCTTGCAAGCCCTTGGCAAAGATAGACGGCTGGATTTTGATTATCTTCTGGAGTTAGTTAGGATGCCTGACAGCAAACTCTTTTTACTTTCCACACCTGCTTCATTCTATCAGGAAACCAGATGGTGTATTTTGCCAAGCAGAAGTTATTATGAGAACAATGCTACTGCAGTAATTTGAGCTGTTCTAGCAGAGAAGTTTGTTCCTAGTAGTTTCTTTCCCTTTTTTCTTCTAAGCTTCTCTGTTTTTTGTATCAGTAACATAAAAGCACTGTGTAAAGTTAAGAACCATATGTCCTCAAACAGGAAAATATGCCAAGAGCTGTATATATATCTAAAGGACAGAACTGTTTATAGTGTTCAAGCACCCAAACCCACAGTTGATTTTGTATGTGAATAGTGCTGATCAGAAAGTGTGCTTTGTCAAGACAGATGTCAGAATAATGACAAATTATTCTCATGCCTTTATAGCTGAACAAACAGATTCCTCCCAAGTACTGAAAACATTATTCTGGGCTGGAACCTACCTGCCTATATTTAGCACAAAGAGAATTTTATAAACATATGAAAGTAAATGTTTTGCTTTTTGGTTGTGAATTGAGACATTCTAATCCAGAGTTCATATCATGTAATTTGAGAGCATAGCTTATAAAAATAATAAATAGAATATGCAGGGGAACAGCATGCTTGTTACCAGCATTACTTAAGTTTAGGTTTAATTATGCTTGACTGCTGTTTGTGTGCTTCCTGAAACAGAGCAAGCCCAATCTTAATAATCCACTAAAGCTAATTGGATTAATGGACAAAACACATCTTCCCTTAATAAGATAAAGGATTGAAATATAATCTCTAAGGGAAGTATCCGCCTTGCTGTTAAAATAAACTAACAGATTTATTGACCCTAACTGCTCCCAGAAATGGATCTTTCAAGAAGAGCTGTTTTTTGAGGCAAGCAGTTGGAGGAGGTACTTTGGACTTCAAATCTTAGGACAGCCTCTCAACCTTCTGCAGGCCAAAGCAATCAGTCATTTGGTAACTGCACCCATATCCACATGAAGGATTAAAAGCCAGAGCACTATGCTGCAGTGTAAAGACTCCTTCAAAGGCAGTACATTGCTGTAGCCTCTTGTTGCTATAAGCAGCTGAAAAAAAAATCATGATTAGCCCAATTGTGTGTACCTGCCCCCTGCACTGAGCGAAGATACGCAGCAAAAATGAGATTAGAGTGACTCTGTGACTGATCTGACTGGTGGGAAGCCATGCATTCTGTGAGAGATTCCCTGTGCCTTCTCCAAGGGTCCATACATCTGCATGGGATTGTGCATTGCCCTGATAAGTATTTTGCAATACATAGGGGAGATAATTTTGAAAGTAGCATAATTTAGTCAATTAATTCAGGGAGCACAAATATCAGTTGTCACTTCAGCGCCAAGTTGCTTCTGTGTAACTATTTTTAGGCTGGGCTCTGAGCTGTGTGAACTGCATCTACAAATTGTGTGTGTTAGTCCTCACAGATACTGTACACCATGATAGAAGCCATCCTGTGAAGTGAAGGCCTGGCCCTGTAAATGCATCTCTGACAGCTTCCTGTTACTTACTAATTTGAGCTTTGGCAGGCCACCAGAGGAAGTGAATCCTGAGACTGCTGATGTAAGAAGAGCGAACAAAAGGAACAGGCAAGGAGGACACAAGCAGTGGGAACAAATACTTGTTATCTCTTGCATGGACAAGAGTGCAAAATAGACAAATCTTTGGTCTTGTGTTGCTAAGATTTTTTTTTTTTAAATCTGAGTTAAAAAATACTCATATTGGTATTAACAGTTGGTAAAAGGTTTTTCAAGCCAAAATGGCTGGAAAATGTAATTCTAGGCTAATAATGGTTATAGAACTAATCTTGCTTTTTCTTGCTGTTCTGTTTGGTATCTTTCCAGCTGCCCCCAATAAGCAGAAACAAGCATTAGAATTGCTAACAGGTGGCCTTTGCAAAACAAGTGTTAATTGCTTTAAATACATAAAACTAGCAAACTTCCATTGAACACTTATGGTCAAGCCAGAAGTAACCTCTTAGAAAAAAAGTATTTATTTTCTTAGGAAGCGCTCAAGGAAAGAGAAAAACCACTTCTTTAAAGAGAAAGTTAATGAGTAGTCTTTCCCTCTATCATTAAATTTTACATGCAACTAACCAAATCTGGGTTTCTTTAAAGTGAGACTTGTAGTGTATACTATTTACATGATGGACTCCTACAGTTTCTCATACTTGAGGTGGGGACCTTGGAAGAAACTATCTAATATGATATTGCTGATTACATTCTGTGCTGCTAACACCAACACAGGTGTAGAGGAGACTCTTCAACATCTGAATGGCATTTCAGTAGGATTTGCTCATTTCAACTTACTGAGGTAGCATGTGTGGTTTTTGTCTTTTCCCCTCCCTGCTGCTGGATCCTGATTCTGGAAGATCCTTAGAGTCTGGCATTGATTTGATGCACTGCACAAAGTAACTGATGATAGGATCCAGCCTCTTGGCTGCAGGTAATGCCATCATTTGGGAAGCAGACTATCACTGTTAGATGAACATGTGTGAAATAAAATGAGACTTCATCTCTTTTCAAGGGTAAACCTAAGTAGTTAATACACTTTAAAAAGCAAACCAATACAGTGAGCTAACTTGGTATGACATAAAGATGACTCACCTATGTCTTAAAACACTGCAATGCAGGTCACAGCCTGTCATCTCCAAAAGGATACTGAAGAACTGAAAAAGGTTCAAAGAGGACAACAAGCATGATCAGAGACTTGGAGTACAGCCACTGCAAGGAATTAGGTAGGCTCTGATGTTTTGGCTTGTGTAAGGGATAGGTACCAACTGTTTGCTGTCTCAACCAATGCAGGAACCTGGTTAATCAAATCTAACTAGCTGGTTTTCCATGCCCTGGCACAACTGCTAGGTCAAGGATGTTGTGAATGCAAAACTGTTCTAGCTCAAGAGAGGAGGAATACTTAACAGAGAACTCTGTTGAGACAGACCACATCAGGCTGAGAAAATCCCTATTAAAAGTGTTCAGAAGCTGGGACAGTACTCTAGGCAGAATGGGCTAAACAAATCTTTGGTGTAAGCCACTGCAGTTGTGTTCTTGTGAGGCCTCTTGTGTTTGTTCCTTGTTTTAGATGGACATTTCTTTTCGTATCCTTCAGCTTAGGGCCTATGGAGTGCTTCTACAGGACTGCTCAGAAAAGGAAGCATGTTGTTAGGCTTGTGCTTGCT